ACACACACACACACACACACACACACACACACACACACACACACACAGGTCATGAGGGACCTTTGTGGCCTCTTTGTTGGGTCATGTGAGCGGGTGGCTCTAGCCTTCATTCATAACCAAACAGCTCCCTATGCAACCATTCTGTACAACAACTACTGTAGATATCTACAGCAGGTGAAGAGCACAACGTAAACAAACACCACCATAAAGAACACGTAATGTGTGGGACTCTGGGGACAAAGACAGCACTGCAGTGGTGGATAAAGTGTGTTAAGAGTCTCTTTTCAGTGTGTGTGTGTGTGTGTGTGTGTGTGTGTGTGTGGTAGGGGGACGGTGCGGCGGGGTAAATGATGGTGCTATTGATCTCTGATGCTCTTTTATAGCCCCGTCATGTCAGTTTAGCACCTTGGCAACACTGGCTTTGGAGCTACATCAATACTGAACTCTGGCACTCATGGATAGACAGATAGAAAGAGACGGATAGAGAGAGAGAGAGAGAGGGGGGGGGGCAAATGAATAGAAAGAAGCAGCATCAAGGTAAAGACTTGACCGCTCTAACCTACAGAGTAAAGTGAAGTGAGGACACCAAAGTCCTCCGCGTGTCCCTGGTGGGTTGTTAGCTGCATGCGAACGCTTGATTAAAAGGAACACATCAATATATCTCGAGTGTCAAACAGGCCTGTGGGTTCAACGCATGAGTGGTTTCTATTGATATTTTTGATATGCTTTGACACATTGAAGTACTTTGTAATTGTGGTAAACACAAGCAGAGCACAGCTAGCATCCTCTGTGAAGGAGCAAGCATCTGTTTCAAAAAGGCTGGCAGGTGATTGGATGAACCGTCTGGCAATCAAACTCTTGCGAGAGCGAGTTCTTTTTCTTTTCCATTGACAAAAGCCTTGAATGCGGTTCTTTCCTCGTCTTTACAATAAAGAAATCCTCTCCTACAGCAGCGTCGACGCTAACCTCTTCAGTCGCCACTCTGTGTCATCACACGCACACCTAAGCCACGCCCCCTAGCTGCCAACAGGACGCTGATTGGTCCGTGCTCTGGCTAACCCGACACAAACGCGCCGCATGAAGCCTGACAAGATGGATGTTCGTGTTACATTTGATCCCGCAATTACCTCGTGACGAGAATCCAGCCTCTGTGAAAGGTAAACGTTTGTCTGCACAATAGCTTAATTAACCTAACTAAGTGTAGTAACGTGCCACAAAATCTCAGACAATTGCAGTCGGAGTTTTCTCATTTGTCTTTAATCTGATCTCTCAGGAAGTAGCAATTGGTCACCGAGAAAGCTCAGTATGAGCTCGCAAACTCGACGTTTCTGTGTGTTGTATTTTTAAAGTCCGCTCAGGATTAAAACACAAATATAATGCCACGTATATCAGCTGTTGTTTTCACGTCTGTGTCTAAACGATGGACACTTAGCATCCACAGCTTTATGAATAACGAGCCGTGTAAAAGAAATAGGCTTGAATGGAGGCCCGCTGTAGTGTGTTTCCATTATTTTGTCCACTTTCATCGATGCGTGCCGCAGTCGTTGGGATTGATTAACTGACACCTCGTGTTGGACGACATTCACTGGGAATAGATGGCTTTTTTTTTAAATCGACCTCCTCTCACGCTCCAATTCAGTTTGGCGAAGCAGAAAATGAACCATGTTCTCGTTATCTGATCGTCACTAAGTATCGGATTTGAGCTGCTGCAAACAAAACATGCAAACATCCATTACTACAGCGCCTGTGTGTCTTATCAACCACAAAGGTCTAATTATGGGCTGTTTCACTGCTGTTTGTTTGTTTGTAGATGTAAAAGATAGAACTGAATGTGTAACAGGAAATAGCATCAAGTCACTTATAGAAGAAAAGCTTAAATAAATGCTTTTCAGAGAGCTTGAATATGAGTCTAAAATACCGCCCGAGTGTGTGCATGTACATGATTCTGTGTGTGTGTGTGTGTGTGTGTGTGTGTGTGAGAGACTGACCGGTCACAGGAGCAGGCCACCAGTATGCTGAGCAGGTTGTAGATGATGAAGGTGAAGATGACGGCTGTGATGGTTCCCCGGGGGATGGAGTAGCTCGGGTTCTTCAGGTCACCTGGTGGATAAGACAGGTTTACTGTGTGTGTCCATACACAGTTAATCAGGTCACACACACACACACACACACACACACACACACACACACACACACAC